TTGTTAATTACATGATATTTTAAAACCCGTGTTTGAGTCATATTAAAATTCTCATTTTCATTCTTTTACTCATTTTTAACCACACATTTTTCAATAAAATAATATTTTTCATCACATCAATAACTTTTCATTCCTTTTCAACCACACATTTTCCATCAATTTACTATTCCAAAATACATTCTTCCAAAATAATGTGGATCAAGCACACCCTTAATTTGTAAGTCATTATGTAAACTTATTATATGCATGTACTATAAAACGTTATTTGGCATGCATTTGATCCTTGATTTGAATTTCTATGTCACCTCAATATCTATCAAAAACTATTTTTGAAATCACAAGTCCTATTTTTGTCGATCAACATTGTACAAATAGCTTAATTCGTAAATCATTATGTAAACATATTATGCCCCCGTTTGGTGCATATTTTTGGGAAAAGAATGCATTTTTACTGTTGATGTGACGTGAAATATATGGTTGAAAAAGAAAGAAAAAATTATTGATGTAATGAAAAATATTATTCCAATATTTTTATTATCATATTTTAAATGAAGCCTTCAACCTTAAAATCAAGTCACATCTCTCGGTCAAAATCATGATTTTCAAGGGGACATGATGTTTCAATTCACATTTTCAAATAGACATGTATCTATGAATGGTTTAACAAAAACACGCAACCTTACAAGTGATAATCACGCACATAGTACGTCACGTCACATAATGTATCACAAATAATTTAGGTCGCAATTGTAATAATTATTTTCCAAAAATAAATGTCTTAGGTTTCATTTTGAAATTGTACATGCATAATTAAAACTATAGATTGTCACAATTTTGTAATTGAGAGTCTCAACATACAATCTATATGCACAATCACATTTTATTACGCAAAATGATTGGAAAATATTGTGGTTGATGTCTGTGATAGGATTAATTATTTACAAATAATAGATGTAAAAATGACGCAGAAATTGATGCTAATTATTCCAGAAAAATCGTGGACAAAAAGGAAATAATTATTCTGGAAAAATCACGTAGGAAATTTGAGGTAAATTTCTTCATCTACTTTGGATAATCACGACATG